GGCCTGTTTTATTCAGAAGATCAGACTACATGATCTCATAGTCCCTTCTGGCCTTAAACTCTATGGATCTATGAACATTTTAAAATTAAAGATGCTGTTGTCTAATGTGGAATTCATGAGCTATGTTATAAGGACTGAGGAGCATTATATGCCCTGTACAGAGGGCTATCTGGGACAGATGGCCTGCTTATGCTAAAAATGGATCTGACTTCCATTTGCTGAAAACGTTCCATGCTAAATTCAGAATTCAAAACCTGTTATGTGGCATGTAATAGTATATCTTTTATATGATTGATGATATTGGCAAGAACATAGGAAGGGCCACATTGGGTCAGACCAGTGGTCTACCTAGCCCAGTATCCTGTCTTCCGACAGTGACCAATGCCAGATGCTTTTCATTTTTGTTCCCCTTCTCTGTACCTTTTCCAATTCCAAGGTATCTTTTTTGAGATGGGGTGACCAGAACTGCATGCATTATTCAAAGTGTGGGTGTACCATGGATTTATATTGAGGCATTATGATATTTTCTGCCTTATCCACCCCGTTCCTAATGGTTCCTAACATTCCTGCTAGCTTTGACTGCTGATGCACATTGAGTGGATGTATTCAGAGAACTATCCACAATGACTCCAAGATCTTTCTTGAGTGATAACAGGTAACTTGGATCCCATCATTTTGTATGTATAATTGGGATTGTTTTCAAATGTGCAATACTTTGCATTTATCAACATTGAATTTCATCTCCCATTTTGTTGCCCAGTAACCTAGTTATTCCTAATAAAGAACTAATTTTTTTGTTTTGTTTTTAATTGTAAAGCAATGTGTCTCAAGTTACTGTCAGCCTTGCCTTAACGTATTAAAAAGAACTTGAAGCTTTATTGACTAGATCTCTGGGTCTATCTACAAATCCTTACAACTTCTAAAATTTTCTTGTACAATGGTTCAGCATAGTCCCGGTGGAGTACTCAAAACAAATAATCATCTGATAAACTATTAACAAATAGTGACATTCATTAAAAGATTCAATATGATGCAATGTGTAATAAATAGTATTTAACTAGTTCTAGTTCCATATTATACCCAGGGATAGATTTTTCTAGGAATTGTGTCTATTTCAAAAGTTTCAAAGCTCTATTCAGCAACAGAGCAGAGACCACTCCAAGAAATTTCTCTCTGGAGTGTTAAACATCTACTGTCCAAGGATCACTGGTGACTGATTACACCAGCTTAAAAGTGATCTGTGAAGCAAAACCACACAAAGAACACTTCAGAGTTTTAAACTGGGAGGGAGAAGGAGAGGGTTCTCTTTGCTTCTTAAGACATGTCAAAAACGACAGGGCAGATTCTAAGCTCCTATGAAGTGGAGAGAGATGACAATTTACATCTGCTGAGAATCTGTTCCCAGGTCCTCACTTCTCTGTTTTTTGCCAGACAACCTTGGTAAGATCTTTGGAGGGTCTGACTAACAACGAGGTGGGAACAGAACGTGCAGGAAATGCTGAGTAAGGCCATTTATGCAGAACAGATGACTCCTAAAACATTTACATTTTGGCCACACCGACTTCCTGATTCTACTTTTTTTTAATTTGTGATTCTGTCTTGTAAATGGGAATAATTCAAATTATTCAGCTGTCTCACGCATTTTAATGACGGATTTCCTACAAATATAATTTTTGACTGTCAAATAAGGAAAAAGCACAGTGGCTAACATAAATACTTAAAGCAGCAGTTCTCAAACTTTAGTTTCCTAATTTTGCTGCGGACCCTCAAGACCCCCTGCTCAACCCTGCCCCCACTCCAACCCTTCCCCCAAGGCCCCACCCCACCTCTTCCTTCCCCCACTTCACCTCTGCTCCTCCTCTTCCCTGCCTCTTTCCACCCTCTCCCCTGAGCGCCCCCATCCTCCCACCTCTCCCTCCCTCCCAGCGCCTCCTGCACATCAGGGAACAGCTACTCCCAAGCCCATTCCAGCCCCTGCAACCCACTCCTTGTTCCAGGGTCTGATCCCAGGCCTCGGGGTGGCTGTCCTAGCCCCTCCAGGTCCTGCTCTCACCTCTGCCCATCCCCCAGATGCATGTGAATTTACATAGGGGTGGAGCTCCCCCAATCCTCTCCCACCCCGTTCTCCTCCCCCCACTGAAAGGTTGCTAGTGCACATTAATGTAGTCCCATTTAAACAGTACTATGCTAATGTACGCTAGCGAACTTTTAGCATGTGCCAGCAGGGTCTACACAGGCCCATTGTAGCACAGCATGCCAGTGTGCACTAGAATTTACACTTATCTAGAGCGCACTAATGCAGAGTGTAGACAAGCCCCAATTCTTTGCACGGTCATGATCTTATTTACCATCCAGATCTGGCTTAGGAGCCAAGTAATTTTTTTTTAAAGATAAATCATGACTTTTGGGGCTTTTGCATAGTAAATTTAGTGTTTGTGACGAGTGCTAGATTGACAGGCCTGAGCAACGGACATCCATTTATACCAAGTACGGCGGCAGCAGTCCCGACGCTTCCATGGTGTCCTACCAATTTGCTTCAAACCTGATCTAAGGAAAGCAGTAGATATTGAGAAGGTAGTCTGGATTTATGCATGGTCAGACCTTGGTGTGTCTGCTAACACTGACAATTTTTGCCAGTTAAGATGATAGGTATTTATTGCTGTGTATCATAAGCACGGTCCGCTGGAAGCCGCCTGTCCACCAAATAATAGTCACATGGCAACAGCTCAAGAGAAGGATGCTATGGGGATGCTTGTGTGATGACTATTCTTTGAAAGGCACCACATAAACTTGAATCTATTATCGAATCTATTTTTCACTCACTTCTCTCCTTTCATTTTACATTTGATTATTTTGAACACCTAAAATCTATGAAACAAAAATTAGGTCTGGGGGCCCCTGAAGTTAATTTCCACTGCCCAAGTTCTGGCACTTCCTCTTTTGTTGTTGTTGTTGGTTTTTAAACTATCTGTGTAGGTCTCTTTTGAAAACTGCTGTGACAGCTGCTTTTAATGTGACCTTGATACAGGGTCTCACAAACTCCTTACCTTTTATTTGGAAAATACACCCACTAAAAATTAGGTTGACCTTGTATTTAAGAGAGAAGCTATCAACATGAATGTCATATGGTTTGTAAAGGGATGCTGCCAGACTGATGATAACAAGCATTTATAAAGTCTTTTGCTTCAAAGTGCTTTACAAGCAATACATGATTATGATTATTACTAATTTATTTAGGAGCCCCACTCATGAACCAGGATCCCATTGTGTTATGCATTGTACAAACACTGAACAAAAAATGGTGCGAACATGAAAATATCCTTTTAGATGATTGAATCTGAAACTTGTAAAATTAAACTTTTTATACTCCACTTGGACAATGGGAATAGATTAATCACTTTCCCTTTTGTTTATAATTACCAGTCACTTATACTTTCTGGTTCTTGTGGATTAGTCAGATGCTGCAGTGTCTAAGTAGCAAATACTGTAGGGGAATGTGAAATCCAAATAAACTATTTGCTCCAAAATTCAGATTTACTCCCTGTCTCTCACTTTTCATTGAAACAGTTCTAATATTTAAAATTAAACCTAAATATTTGGACCTCTGCTAAGTATCTTTAAATTCTTGTCTGTTTATTTATAACCACTTATTCAGATTACTAACACTCAAAGTTTGCAAATTCTAATTTTGCTTCTCACCGTTTGTTTTCTGCAGGTTACTCATTTTAGCTGGTAAGACTAGAATGAATAATTTCATTTGTTTTGTGTTAGTCTCTGGCTGGCATGAAACAAACACTGAAAGGGAATAATTACATTTAAATTGTCTTCATCGTAAAGGAAAAACTTGTATTCACTGGGATTTGTGAAGCTCTTTAAATAATGGGGCCTAAAAATACTGTTGTTTGTAAATTCAGTAAGGAAAAAAAAACTCCAGGGCAAAGCACTCAAAATGTGTAATCCATTTGGATGTGATCTACTTTTCCTGTATTCAGAATACAATTTTAGATTCCTAATTACTTACGCTACGTCTGCTCTATGAGCTGGGTGATATTCCCCTACTCTCATCAAGCTAGTACAAGTGTCAATATCACTGTAGCTATGGTAGCACAGGTGGTGGCCATGGAAGCCAGGCTGAGCTGTGCAGAGTACATATCCACCAGGTTCAGGCAGGATTGTACTTGGCATGCCTCTGCCGTTCCTCCGCTGCCACTCCCTCTGCTACCCAGGCTGCTATTTATACTCGGGCTAGCTCGCTGAGAACTGGCCCAAGTATGTGTACACATGCAGCGGAATCACACCCCCAGCTCCTAGTGGAGACATAGCCTTTGACTATAAGATCTTTGGGGCAGGGACCATCTGCTTGTTCTGTGTGTACAGTGCCTAGCACAGTGGGGTCCTGGTCCATGACTAGGGCTCTTAAGTGCTACCACAATGCAAATAAAAAATAAGATAGCCTTGTTTGGCCTAAGTGCATGCTCTAAAGCTGGAAACAACATATGTGAGTAAGTTCACCCACACAGCTAGCATCATAGTCAAAGGAGCTAATCTCATGAGTACAGTTATTCATTTTTGCAAGATCAGGGCCTAACACATTGCATACTCAAATTTTATTGCAGGGCCTTTGTGCTCTGTTTCCTGACATTACTCACCCATCATTATTCATCCTTCCATGCTCAAGAGGTATGGGTAGGGGCAGGGAAGTTATTTGGTTAATAAACCAAGAGGACACACATGCTTCATTGTGTTAGCCTGTGCAAAGAGCACAAAGAGCCACTCATAAAGTCATTCTAAAGCACTGGCTTCTTGTTTCTCCAAGTTACACATTCTCTACTCTGCCACTTGCTGGAGTTTAGTGATTTAGGCTCCGATGAATGTTCTTTTCCAAACCGGTGTATGGATTCTACTTGTAAAATGATAGATTGTCTCTGTAACCGGAGAACAAAGAAACAAAGCTGGCATGTTACTGTAACGTGAGAACTAAGGAAAAGCCACATCAAAGATTCAAAAACAAGAGTTTACTTTAAACTAGACCTGATAAAGAAAGTATCAGATCCCAAATGTTAATATAATCCTTCCCTCTGAAAGTAAAGAAATGAACAGTATGTGCTCATTTTTAAATAAGTGCTGTTTTGAGATTAATATCTTAATATTTGTCAGATCTTCAGATGGGAGGTGTTACAGCAGTCCAAAGTATTATGTTTCATCCTGCAGCTTGGAATTAATTTTAGCAAGGAAGAACTTTTTTTTCTTCTGTTGAATCCTGTATAATAGATTTTGCTCTATATTACTCAGAATTTGTGAGGGGTATGTTATGCTGTTTTTTCTCTATGTAAAGCTTTCTCCCCTACCAAACCAAAGAATTAAATAATGAACAGCTAGACTCAAGCCCCTCATTTATTTGAGAAGCAAATCCTGATCCTGCTTCCATTGAAATCAACAGCAAGTCACTTCAAAGACAGGTGAATCAGGTCCTAGGCTAGATACATTTTCATCTGGGAAACTCAGATGAAACTTAAACTCAGAGCCTTTTTCTAAGATCAAGCCTTGTATACTGTTCTGACCATTGGTACCCTCTACACCTTCTTGTGTAATGCAGACTAATTGCTCTACAGATCTCATTAACTCCTGAGCTCTGCAGCTCTCGTTAATTCCTGGTTTCTAATGCCCACCTAACACTTTTTTATTTGTGCTAAATCAATAAACAAATTAACATCAGCTGAGTTCTAACTGATCTAAAGAGGCTTGACCCCTGAAACTTGGTGGTCCCCCCCTCACCCTGCAGGTCCTTTGTGGTGTGTTAATGTCTCATTGATAGTCAATGGCCAGTAGTGATCATCCTCTAAACTCATTCCTGATGCAGTACGCCATCTGCACCTATGTCTTCTCAGCACGTTCCTAGAGAAATAGAGGTTTCTATGGGCAGCTCTCTGTCCCAATGGTCAAATGGAGGTAGAGGGGAAACAAACTGGAAAACATCCTGAAAGCAGTTGTGTGCCAGGATCAAGGCCTTATCAGGCTCCTTCTTAGAAAGTGGAAGCAGAAGCTTTGCAACTCTTTTTCAATTAAATGTTTCCCAAATAATTTTTAGTCCCTTCCTACCGTGGATACCGGAAGTAAATGAGATACTTTTACATGACAATGTGTGTTTGCCACATGCTAAAAATAGATGTTACATATTTTAAAGAATATCCAGAGCTGGCTACAGGTATCTGCAACACATTGGCTCCAATTCCCAGTCTTTTCATACTTAAAATCAGTGCAAGGAGAAAAAAAAGCATTCATCGCTTGTCCAGGAGCATTACTATGGCATTTGATACTTTCTTCTTCTGACGTACGAGAGAGGGAGTCATTAGACACACACATGATCATATGAAGCTGTGGTTTGTAGAAATATAAATACTGCACATAAATGTTGATACGTGCACATTAACTGTCTTGTATAATTCAAGTTTCTCTCTTACTCATGTCTTGCAGCCATAGAATTCTTTCAGCTGGTTGAAATGCTACATAATTGTCTTCCACAAATTCAGATTCACCGTGGTAAAACTGCACGGCAGAAGAGCGTTCCACGGAGATAAGACGATGTGCCAGACTGTGATAAACTGGGATTTTACCATGCCACAGCTGCATTCAGCATTGAAAAGCCAAAGGCCACGTACTTCAATCATCTTGGGGATGCTGAAACTCCATTTTTACTTTGTTTCTGAATGCTTAACTTGGCTCAGTATCTCAACGGGTTTCTGGGCTGTGAGGTCTCTGTGTCAGGAAGTGATGCTACTGTGCATATCCTAAGCACAAACAGAAGAGTTAAAGATGAAACTTTAATTATGAGTAGAGCTTCAAAAAATGTAGTGCTTACATTTAATTTGTTTTTGTTTTCAGTTTGTGCCACAATATGTTTTTACTTCATTGTTCGCCTGTGAATGTGGGTTGTGTTTAGTTAACCAAATGTTGTTGCGGAAGTGCCTGAAAGTTAAGAGCATAGATCATAATGGCACGTTTACAGTCACTATACCCTAACAGATACTCTCTGTATAGCACACCCCTGGTTCCTTTTTCTTCCTAAAACAATGAAGTTTACTCATATTAATATTTACAGTGGTAAAGGAATGTTTTTGTGGAACAGGTTTATACAGTCTCATCTCCTCTGTAAATCCTAAGAAAATACAATATCAATAGGCTGAATACTATAAGCAATATTGTGTGGAGAAAATACAAGTTATTGCTAGTTTTTAATTAAACATAGTAGAAATTGTGCCCCACTTTCTACACCTATCACAGGCAATGAAGAATGATGGCTAGTGCTATTATATTCCTAGACAAACCTGTCATTTTTGTTCCACAATGAACCTAATTTCTTTAAGGCAGGTAGGCTTGCTGGTAAAGTATAATTCCATGGTCTAAAATAGAAGAGGCTATTTCCCTGCTCAAAACCATATTAACATATTCTGAGAGTCTCAAGTAACATAAAAAAGAGCCAAATACTTGCCCGCATGTGAATTTTGCCATTGAGTTCAATTGTATTATTTATCATAACTCTGTAGAGTTACAACAGACTGCAAAAGGAAAAGAGGAACTTTTTTAAAACAGATGGATTTTTTTTTTAACCAGGAACTTTAAAGATGGCTCTTTCACATAATTTTCCATGATAATAGTTGCATAGAGGTTGAAATGAGAGGTACTCTTTCAAGTCATTTTATCCTGTACCAAAGTGATGAGAGAGACAAGGTGGGTGAGGTAATATGGGTGAGGTGAGGTGGACCAAATTCTGTTGGGAAGAGAAACAAGGTTTTGAGCTTATTGGACAGAAATTGGTCCAATAAAAGACATTTCCTCACCCATTTTGTCTCTGTAATATTCTGGGACTGACACAGCTGTAACAACACTGCATATACCAAAGAGCATGTGTAAGTGAAACTTATTTCTGGTCTCTGCTAGTAATACAGGCCCTGCCCCTGCAGCTGGAACCAAACAGGCAGAAATTTATGTCCACAAATAGCTTTATTGAAGTCAGTTTGCTAACCCATTTGGGTTCAATTGCAGGATCAGGACCACAAAGTCTTTCAACTGGAAATCAAGGCAGATAAATAACTAAATAGAAACTTTAAACCTAGCTGTCAATTTTAGGATAACTTAATCAAGGAGCAGATTTGGCAGAAAGAAAGGTGATGGTACTCTTCCAAGCTCCGCCTACAAGGTAAGCTCTGCCCAGGGGAGTTGGCAATATGAGATGTCACTTGTAGAGTGTGCAGATATTCAATATATGATCATGTTCATTGACTCCACAGAGCTCCTTCAACTATGCTCTCCTTCAGTGGGGCTTGAATACAGCTTCATTGGGCCAGGCTGCTTCTTTTATTGTGGGGGGAAAATAAATTGTGATATCTCCCAAAAGCCACCCATGTGTTCTGCAACCACCTTCTTATCTGCTTGGCTCCTGCAAATTGAACAGAGGATTTTAATGAGGACTCTCCACTGAAGTTCCAGACTGTCTGGGGAGCAGTGGAAAGTCCTTCTACATCTTACATTTACTCTCAGATCTGGAAGATCTTCATGGTCTGGTGTGGCACTAGGAGCATTACTGTCTTGCTCATCCTAATATGCTTTGCATTTCTTTGTCCCTGTTCAAGAAGGGTCTCAAAGGCGAGTGATTCATCAAGCAATCCCTCAGCAGGACTCGATCCTCCTCTCCCAGTTTCTGATGTATCCCTAATTTGAGCCTTTAGGGAAGACTTCTTTCCTTTAAAATGGCCCTACTTATTGCAGTGACCTAAGCCAAATGAGTGAGTAAATCAAATTCTCATAATCTCTCTCCCCTATTCTTCTCTCTTTACAGAAGGGCATTTTTGTTGTTTTGGCTTTCTCCAGAACTTGTTCCCAAGGTGGATAGTCAATTTCACCTGAACAATTTAGTCTTAGCACTCTCTTTCTCTGTCCAAATCTGGCATTTTCCCCACCTCACAATGCCAAGAGGCTACATTTGGTCGATGTAAGCAGGTTCTCAAGTTTTATTGTCCCTGTTCTCAGAACTTCAAAAAATTAAGGCAACTGTTTCCTTCCTTTGAGGGTTACAAGAACAAGTTGCTATTGCTATGTGGGCCTGTCAGATGCTGTTATGCTAGAGAAGCTGCCCCTTTAAAGACTGCGTGCTAAGGCACTAATTTCCAAGGTGTGTAAAGCAGTGACCATGATCATCTCTTCGCTCCTTTTTATGTCACTATCAACTGGGCCTCTCTGCTTCTCAGGGTGCCTTCCTTGGCCGCAGGTTCTTGCCAGCAGCAGAACTTGGCAGTTTTGCCTCCTGGGATTACTATCTGCTAATAAACTGTCTGTCCTTTTCATCCACTATTGTAGGAGGAAAGGAAAAAGTATGTTCAAAGAGAGAAAATTTACTTATCAGTAATTGTTTGTCTCACACTCTCTTCTACCCTACATCCCACCATCCTCCCTGTTGGCTGGTATGCTGTTGCTTATTTTATTTCCTTGTCAGCTGTTTCTTTCTATATTTCCCTAGCTGGAGAGATTGTTCTTGGACAATCTTATAATAACCAGCACTACGGTTTCAGAGCTTTTCACACTCATTGCTTCTCTAGTGGTAGCATTACAATACTGTCTGTTCTGTAATCTGTTGTCCATAGAGAAGAGATTGTGACCTACAGAATTACCAGTAAGTAATTTTTCCTTTTATTATGTACAGTTGCAAACAATTTTAAGTCCTTCAAATATAATTATAAGTAATAAGTCTGAGCACTTCAGTAAAAAAAATACAATGCACCAATTAACACTGAAATTATAATTATCAAAGACATTAAGCGTATTTCTTAAAATGAAAGCACCACTGTTCTTACATCATTTAAATACCATCTGTTTTCTTATAAAATATTACATTTTTAATAATCTTTGTCTGTCTTTTAATTATCTGTGATTTCCTAGGTAACCAGCTTCTTCATATTCAGAAATAACCCCCTCAGGAGCCGTATTGCTGGACCTTCTTTCTTCTTAACTTTTTTAACTTAATTGCTTTGTTTGTGTGTTAGTGTGATCTGAAAGCTTGACAATACTGGAGCCTGGAACTCTTTTATTTACTTACAGAACACCACCGCCACAACTCCTGCTCATGCAAGCTTTGCTAAAGGGTTGTGCTTGTGTCTCAAACCTGACTTAAAGGGACCTCTGCCAGAGGGGAGAGAAGTTTAGTCTTCAGCTCTGTTCAGGGCTTTGTATCTTTCCTGCCGCTACCACTGTCAGTAGTAGTGACCTATTTATGTGATGTGGATATTATTCATGAGGACTGAGAACACCAACTTATTACACAGTCGCTTCTGACTTGCCAACAGCACGTAGAGATTTCAGTCATTTTTGACATGTGGTGAATTCAAACTAGCAGCTTTGAGCAGAAAGGCTCTCTATCCCATTATCTATCCCCGCCATGAACTCTCATAAACTAATTCACCTGGTTTTTATTCCTAATTCTTTTTTAGACTTGATGTAGCTCAAATAATGGTAAATGGACATGGAGGGGTGTTATGGTCTCTCTTATGTGTCTCAATTATACATCAGAGTGTAAGCTGTTTGGGATATAGACAGGGCCGTCCCTAGATGGGTGCGGGGCCCGGAAAAAATCAGCCTATATGGCCCCCCCTTCACGTTTTTTATACAGGATGAAATCCGGTGTGAGGCAGGGACACCAGTGCTGGGGCGTGAGAGACCATAGAGAGTGGCACCTGTGCTAGGGGCAAGGGGGCTTCCTGTGCTGGGAGGGTCCCAAAAAAGGGAGGGGTCCGGGGCAGAAGGGCAATGGAGGGGGTGAGCCTGGCGGTGGCATGTTCTGGCAGTGGTAGGATGGTGGCGGCTGGTGCTGCGGCAGGCAGCCTGAGGTCGTTGCTGCAGCTGCTGGAGATTGAGCCTGAGCCCTGTGACGCCGAGCCCGAAAAAGAAATACAATGCGAGCTTCCCACCGGTGAGTGTGGGCCTGACCTCTGCTGCCAGCGCCAGGTCCCCCGCTAGCCACCTGGGCTGGCCTGGCACCCCTAACCCCACTCCCCCTGGACCAGCCTGGCACGCCTAACCCCACTCCCCTTGGGCTGGCCTAGTGCCCCCGCATGACATACGCACACTGAAGCGTGGGGCCCGTAACAGTTGCCACGATTCGCCATACCCAAGGGCCAGCTCTGGATAAAGGGCCAATTTCTTTGTGTTTATACAGGCCTACCACTGTGGAGTCATAGTCTAGTGACAGGGGTCCTCATCCCTACTCCATCTAAATAAAAATAATTGCTACTCTTCCAGCGGGAGGGGGAAGCCATCACTCCAGGCTGCAGGTGTGTTTGTAATTCTACAGTCATCCACACACTGCAGTGCAATGTAACAAAAGCGCTCGTCTATTCTTCCACCCTCCCTTGCCCCATAGCCTCTTTTATTTCCAGTCCGCTGATTCTATCATACGGGGCACAGCAGTTCACGAGCCGATTCTTTGGTGGTTGGTTGGGTTTTTTAAGAGCGGGGGAAGCTGCAAGTGGTTTGAGACTTAACATCTAACCTGCTCAGCCAAGAGAGAGAAAATTCACTGTCCCTAGAGGCGGTGAGCCGGTGGTTGGGAGCATCATGCTGAGCACACGCTGCAGCAGGTCCCAACTACCTCTAGGAGTAGGATGCTTCCTTGAATATGCTTTGATCGGCTTCTCCACCTGCTCCTTCGAGCCTGCTCCCCCGTCCTCTTCCATCTGCTCTCCCGCCCCCTTGGGCACCCCAACCTGCTCCGGGACCCCCTAAGATAATCGTCCATCCCTTACCTCCGATCTATTCCTTTAATCCCCCCCGCCGCCGCCGCTCCTCTACGTCCCCCGCCGCCACACCCCCAATCTGATCCTCCCTACCCGTGAACGCCCGACGGCCGCTCTCCCCACGCTAGGGCTAAGGGCGCCGGATAGGGCCGCAGCTTCTTCACAGGCTGAGGGCGGGGAAGCGCTGGACACGTGCTGCTCGCGGCCGCCCCAAGAGCCCGGGGCGAGGCCGGCTGGGGGTGGGCAGACACGCGCCCACCCGCCCATTGTTCCCCGAGGCGGGTCTAGCCGGCGACCCACGCCCCCGGCCCTCCTCATTGGCTGGCGGAGGCGCCCGGGGCTCGGGCCGCTCAGTGGAGAGCGAGGTCCATTGACAAAAGCGCCGGGCGGCGGGGCCGGGGGCGGCCGCCTGCCGGGGACGGTGCTTGCTGCTGCTCAGGCGGGGAGGGGGCGTGGGCTGCTCTGCAACCCCCCCGCAGTGATTGTTAGCCGGGAGCTGGCCCCAGGCTGCGCTGGGCAGGCGGAGGCTCGAGGCAGCGGCTGCAGGGAGGCGAAGGCTCCTGCGAAGAGGGGGCGGCGGTGCTAGGCTGGTGGAGCAGGAGCCGTGCGGTCGGGCGCGCCCGCTCCCTTTCCATGGCTGCGAGGAGGGGTGGGCCCCCCTTGGAAGGTGAGCAGCCGGCGGTGCAGCGTCGGGGGATTGGGTTGGGCCCGCCCGCAGGTGAAGCAGCAGCTCCAGTGTGCAGCTGGGGCACCTGCACCGGGCTGGCGCAGTCGGCACGCCGGGAGCGGGCGGACACAGCTTGCAGGCAGCAGCCACCGCCCCCTGTTTGATGCCCCCCCCCCCCCGCCTGCCGATGCCGTGCTTGTGCCATGCATGCTCCCCCGCCCCGCCAAGGCGAAGGATTAACGGCACGAACCCCCTCGCCCCGACTGCTGCGGCAATCGCGGCCTCTGTGGGTAGGGCTGGCGGTATTGGCCTCGGCTCCAGCCAGCCAGCCACCCTCCCGCTCGGGGGAGTCCCCATATGGCTTTGCGGCGAGAAACGCTCTGCCTGCAGCATCGCTGATGAGTGTGCCACGGCGGGGGAGGGAAAGGGGGCAAGTCCGCGGAGGGGGGAGGGAGCACCGGCTGGGGGGGGGCGCGAGGGGGGCTCCGTGTGTGTGTGTGTGTGTGTGGGGGTGCAGTGTGTGTGTGTGTGGGGGGGGTGCAGTGTGCGTGGAAACCGAGCGCGGGTGGGGGGGAGGGGCAGCGTGCCTGGGGAGAGGGGCCAGCCGGCTGGGAGGGCGGTGCTGTGGGGTGAGGGTGGTCGGGGGTAGCGGGAGGAGGGGGCTGCGCGCGTGCGGGGAGCAGGTTCCCCCAGGGCCGGGCTCAGCAGGGCTCTGGGGAGCGCGGGTGCGGGGCCGGTGGCCGCGGGGGCGTCAGTGCGCTGCGCTCTTCCCCGCAGGTGCCCGGGCCGGGGCCCCGCCGGCGGACGGACCATGGTGACTTCCCCGCTCCGGGGACGGCGGCGGCAGGAGCCGGAACCTCAGCGCTAATGGAAACTGGGTGCGCTGCCAGCTCCGCACCTCCGCGGGGGGGAGGCGGCGCGTCTCCAGCTGCTGCTGCCCGGCCCCCGCCAGCTGACGGGAGCGCGGCCGTCGGTGGGCTCGGCAGCCGGAGCCGGGCGGGCATGGAGACCGCTGCGGTGCCGGAGCGGGGCCCGGCCCGTGTCCCCCCTGCCCGCCCGCCCGCCGGGAGGGAGCCCCGAGCCGGCCACCTGCGGTTCCTGCGGAGGAGCGTGGTGGACTCGGACCAGGAGGAGCCGCCTCTCGAGCTCTCCGCGGCCGAGCCGCGCCGGATCGTCCTGCTCTCCAAAACCAGGAGGATGATTGCGGAGAGGGCCAAGGAGCGGCACGGGGAGGCCGAGCTCGAGCCCGCTGCGGCGGAGCCCGCGGTGGAGCCCAAGGGGGCCGCCCCTGGGGGGCCGGCCGCGGCCGAGGAGCAGAAGGAGCCGGGCAGGGATGCGGAGAGGAAGGAGCCGTCGGACAAAGATCAGACCAAGTCCAGGAAGGAGGAGCCCGAGGAGGAGGAGGAGGCCGACATGAAAGCCGTCTCCACCTCTCCCGACGGCCGGTTCCTGAAGTTTGACATCGAGCTCGGCAGGGGGTCCTTCAAAACGGTCTACAAGGGGCTGGACACGGAGACCTGGGTGGAGGTCGCTTGGTGTGAACTTCAGGTAAGCTGAGCTGGCCTGGCAGCTAAGGACACAGCCTGTGCCATCTACAGACCTGCAAACGCAGCCTTTAGAGTCCCCATTGCTGATCCTCCTGCGTCTAACTATAGCATGTGGTTTTCATTGGCTCAGAAGCTGCCACCTTATGTAGGCTCCTGCCTGCCTTAACCCCCTCAGCACTGGGCATGATCACTGACATTTCTGGCAATGTAATGGGCTAAGGATGAGACTGATGAGAAGGTCAGGAATTTTTCCCTTGGCTGCCTAGAGATTGTCAGAAGAGGCTTCTGGGGGTAGTCATATGTCACTCAAACTGACACTTGAGACATCTGTAACTTGATTTAGCAGGAGTCTAGCTGTCTGTAGCTTAAAAAATACATTAAAGATCTTAAAAGACAATTGCAGAAAATAGATTTACTTCCTTTACAAATCTAAACATGGCGGTTGTGGGTCTAGGGTCTCTTCCCACTGAAACCTCCTATTTTGAAAGGGTTATTAAGCTGTCACAAGCTCATTCTGAATTGAAACTTGGGAAGCACTTTCTAATCCAACATGGCTTATATATTTTTGGCCATATCTGAGTTAGTCTTTCAGCAAAGTCAAAAATGTGTGGCTTCAGATGTCTTTTTGAGCAACTACAACTGAAGTCTCCCCGCCCCCCCATCTCTCAATTTTTTTTAAGCCTTTGAGTCCTGTAGGGTGAAATAGTACATTAATACAACTCTAAAGGCCTGAGACTCTTCAGTTTCTGGGCATGAACACTACATTCTTTTAACTATTCCTGTAATTCTTTATATTTTTCATACAAACTTAAATGTACCACAGGCCATGTGGGTTATACAAATTGCAACATGATGTACCCCAGGGTTTTTTGGTGAAGTTTTTGCTATCTGTTTCCTGTCTCCACCTAGGTTAGTAACATAAATTAACATGAGACTTAAGCTGTTGTGACTTTTTGAATCCTTAGTTTTTTTCTTTTAGTAAGATCTTCTTTCTAGACTACCTCTTAAACTAGGTTGTGTTGTATAGATTTTGCTGGGGCACTGACATCTGTACCTCAAATTGAGCCATGATGGCACTAATCCTGCATTCCTTGTGCACCCAAAACTCCCACTGAATACAGGATCGATCCTCCTGCTGTAATAGTGTCTAAGTACAATTAGTAAAGGATAGAATGGAAGCCCCGATTCTGAAAATCAATGTAAACTCTACTTTGCCTCCTGTGATAGGCAGCTGAGTGGACATACAGCCTTGTCACTTTGGTTGATTTTATTGTATGGTATTTTGTAATCCATTGCAACCCCATATTGTTTAGTTAAAAGTGTAGGGAATATGTTTTGATTTTTCATTTGAATTTCTCCTATTCTGTTAAGAGCCAGTGAAATAAAAACAACTTGCTTTACTTGTTGGGTTTTTAAAAGCACTGCAGAGCCAGCATTATGGTGTATTGCAGCAAGAGAAGTACAAAAAAGGCAAGATAGAAAAGGTCCCAGTAGCACAGGGGAGACTATGAGAATCAGGGGAGAAGCTGCATAATTGACAATTGGAGAATTTGTCATGCTGCTGGGAGGAAAAGAGAGAGGCATCATCGCAAGCTGGCTTTGTCATTCCGGTCTGGGTTTGGTTGGAGGGCGCAAAATATTAGCGTGTGTAAGTTTTTATTTTAATAACTAAAGGTTCATTTAAAAATGTTTATCCAGTTCTCTTCAAGTGAATGTTTGGATATAATGAAAGGTCAATATCATCTGACAATCTTATTGTGGCCCGTGTTGTGCAAATTCTGTCACAACAGAACAGTCAGCAATTTGGAATTCATTTTGCTGTCAGCTTCGTTTTAACTCTGCTTTACTAGAGTAATGTTTAAATCTATAATTGACTATCCATAGCTGCTTAGAAAGATCATTATGTCAGAAAATAGATACTTCGCAAATTGTAATCTTCTGGTAATCTAAATCCTCCATGAATCTTTACAAATGGGTATAGTAAGCTACACTGTCAAATTTCACTAGTCTGTTTTTACCCCTCATTTCATTTGGGTGGGAGATCTTGAATGTGCTCCTTTGTGGAGAAGGTGTTAAGAGGGTTAAAAACCTCTGATTACCCATATAGATCAAAATGTCTTTTATGGAAGAAGGATCTGTAATCATTACTTTACATTCCATTATAAACCATAGGTACCGCTTGTTTCAAATCTGATGGAGCCACTAACCATTTCACTATTTTCTACAGACTTCTTTCTGTATAATAGCTCTAAATTGAGAGGTCTAATTTTTGGACTAGACAAATATGGGAAAAGTGATAAAAATTCATCAGGATATTTCTGACTTCCACTTCTAACAAATCAGTGTCAATTAGTTGTATAGATTTGAAGGTAATGTTGGAGAAGGGTCAGCTTCCAGGAGATGGTATGACAGATTTTCAAGTTACTGTTGAAACTTGTTTTGGATTAATGAAGTGTAACTGAGTGGTGACTGCAAGGTTTTGATTTATGTCAGGCATATGTTTTCAGCCTTTATTTGCAAGAGAAGCAAATAGCCAGCATTATACACTGATGGAGTTATGTATTACTTTTATAATCCTGAGTTGCATGCACTTTATGTCTAAGGCAGACATTTCTAAGTAATCCTGCTTATTTACAACATTTCAAACATTTCTACATGTACCTGGTCAATTATACTTGAGTCTGTTTTCACTTTTCTATAGAAATGTGGTCAGTTGCAAGCGGCAAAGTACTCATACAAAACCATCATTACCTGACAGTTGAAAACATAAAATGTCTATCTTGATACTTTCATCCCACAGAAAACAATTTTTACATTGCTGAATTTGAACGTTGCATCTGTAGATTTCTTTTCGGGGAAGTGTTCTTGTCTTTTTTTCCAGTGAGATCCCTACATTTCCATGCTGATCAGTTGTGCTTCTTAAATCTTGGTTACAGTACACACAGTCAAAATTATAAATAGTGGGAGGTTTTTAAAAGTAAGATCGTCTCACAGGTATACTTGAAGCTTAGAGAGTGAGAGCCAATGGAACACCTCTGCTATATGTAACTTGATTAGCTTTCAATGAAGAGAAAGTAGGAAAGAGAAAAGTTCTGCTTTGGCAAAGTGATGCAGTAAATGACTCTCTTCATGTCTAA